TACTTTCTGGGGTGGTCTTCAGAGGGTCTCCTGCTGCAGCAGGAATAATAGAAGGGACAGCTGAAAGCCCCTCAGGATTTGTGGGTGGTAAATTCACTGAGTTTGTGTAAAATCAGTGTAACAATTCAAATGAGAGTAAGAAATTAAGACATAACTTTACATTCTTAATTTGACTGATTGCAGTTTTGGAATTTTAGTCTTTGTGATTTCCATCTAAAATATAATCTCTTGAGTGGGCAAAGTGGAGCAACACCTTAATCCCAGCTATTCAGGAGGCTGAGGTAGAAGGATTGCAACTTTTTACTTGTGAGACCCTCTCTTAAAAATAAAAATATTGAGGATATAGCTCAGTAGGAGAGTTCCCATGGGTAAAATCATCAGTAGTACAAAGTAAAAATAATAATGAAATAAAATATAACCTCATAGAATACTGTACCTTTTCTCTCAGATCTTTCAATAGTTTGTCAACACCCAGAGGCAGGGACCAAGTGACTTATTCTGTGTTTCTCTACAGACCCTAGACCCAGTCCACAGTCACATATAATACACATTCATTCATCCATGATGAATGAACTAAATTTTGATGATGAAAAACTCCATTAGATATTCTTAAAATCAAAGTTCCAATAGAATCTCCATGTATCAAAATGCCACTCAGTAATTTGGTTACTCATACAATTACTAAATACTATTACTTTTGCATAGTAGTGGTACATTTTACACATTAGTTTCACAAAAATCAAATTCAGTTGTTTCCACTAAATGCATACTTTCTTTTAGAAGCCATACAGAATGAATGATGAGCAGGGGGATTATAACACAAAGAATCTATTTGCTTTGATAAAATAAGACACTGCATGTGATACATAAATGATATCCCAGTCCTGCCACTCTAACACATTTCAAATTCTAGAAAGTCTGTGATTTTTAAGAAGCAGAAACTGTATTGCATTCAGAAAATCTGCCCAAAGTTCATATTAAGGAAGCCAATAATGCAGAAATTGCAAAGAGATTTTTATTATTTTTTAGGTTCTATATAAATTAACTGTTAGTTCCACTAGTGACTACTGCCACTCACCATTTACCAAAATAATGGCTAGATACCACAGACAAAGTATCTAGCCATTAAGAAAATACCCTAGCCAAACAATCTTTATGTTTTTATCACGATCAAGGTTATCAACTCACACAACATTTTTCTGCCAACAGAGAAGTAAAATCAGTAAAAAGTGAGCTTTAAATTTTACTTTATAATTTGAGTTTCTGAGGAGACAAACATCTGTTTTTCAGTGCAATCTGCTTATATGACCCCTGAAATGAGTACCAGTACAGTACAAAATGAAGGTGTCCAGATCACAGCCTTGTTTGGTCTCCATAGAAACCCCAAGCTCTATACTCTGTGATCACTACATCTCCCCTAGAAAGAAATGAGCTTTGATGGGGGGACAGCATTGTATTTCATATAATTGTATGTTTAGGGAGCCTTTGATACAACTGTATGTATGATAAAGCCAGAATGGGTTAAGAGAATTTTCTCCCCCAACTGTGGGAAAAAGTAGTAAGAATCAACAAGGGACATAAAAATTCTTTGTTGTGTATTGTTCACCAAATATTCCAAAAATGAATATAACAGTGCTTTTTTTTTTTAACTCCTAGAAGAAAGGTCATGTAATGTTCTCATATCATTTGCCTTATAGCATGCAACAGCACTTTTTTATTTTCCTAGAATGTGCAGGTATAGATTCATAATTTATTTCATTTTTAAGGGGAAAATAAGAAATAAAATCCAATACATGACATACCCTAGCAGGATGATCCAATCTTGGATGAATAAAGTTCCATGTCAAGAAAAAACCAAGATTTTCAACAATGTATCAAATCAATAGGCACCAAAAAAACCAGGGAACCACAGATCTCTCTGTAGACAGAGATTCAAACTAAGCCTAAATAAGGACAGAAGGGATATAATCTACATTCAAATCCAGTCTTTTAAGCAATAGCCACAATTACACATACCTTTCCTTAAGTCAACACTAATTATACTTACCACTGAGAAGGTTGCCACAATGACAGCAGAGGTTCTCAGAACTAACCTGAAGTTTATGAGTCCATAGGCATGTGAAAAACAACAGTATACTCCTTGTTTCCATAGAATAACATATACCAGTTCTGTTTACTAAGTTGGACAGGAAAAACTAATAGATGAGGGCTGGGCTGTGGCTCAGCAGTAGGGCGCTCACCTAGCATGTGCGAGGCGCTGGGTTCGATCCTCAGCACCACGTAAAAATAAATAAATAGATAAATAAAGGTATAAAAAATTAATAGATGAATCATATGCTGAGATTGTTTTGAGTAGCTGGCACCTGAGGAAAATGAATCCCCATTTGGCATAGTTTTGTCAAAATGGCATCCACATACTCATAATTACCACCACCACTTCTAAAACAGCCAGAAAGGCACAGGAAATAAAAGAGAAGTCAGGATAAATTTGTTACTAGCAGTCAAACAAAAATGCTAAGTACATGTGCTTTTAATGATCATCTTTGTAGATATCTTCATAGATCAGATGCATTAATCACCTGCTTTCTGATGTGCACAGTACTGAAATCATCTGTTGAGAGGTGGTATTATTTTTTTATACAGTTATGGCAAATTTAAAAAATTGCTCTTTTTAATTCTCCAACAACATAGAATTTCCCAAAGGTGAAAATAATCATCAAATACCTCCAAGGCTGGAGCTATACATTATTGTTCACATAGCGGCATTTGTTCAACCATAGAGACACACTAACCATGTGCTATGAGATGACTGTGTTGCTAAAGTAGAGGACAATGGAAAGAACAATTTATTAGTTTTTTTTGTTGTTCTTCAAGGTTATATCTATATGGATCTGAATACTACATAGAGGTTTAGAATAAGCACATTTTCTAAGCCATTCATCAAGTGGTATCACCTAAGAGAAACTTTAAGTATTTAGTTGTATTGCACAACATTTAAATGATGCACATAGTACCAAATGTGAAAATTCAGAAATATATTCAACTGAAAATTTTACTTTTATTCTAAATGTTTGGCATCAGGTAAGCAATAAGAAGTCAGTCTTCAAAAATCCATGTGTTCACACCCATTTTGGTGAAAGAGTGAAGCAAAGAGTAATATAAGGGTGTTTTCATGATTGTGTTTTGAAAGCTGGTCACTGAAGGGTACCAACATAAAGCCAGCAGATGGCTCTGACAACACACACATACACACACACACACACACACACACACACACAGAGGATAGCGGGCAAACAAATATAACAAACAAGAAAGGAAGACATTAACCAGGCTAAATAAGAGAAGTCATCAGAGAAAATCTACAAGGGAAGAACCATTTGAAAAAAGTATGACCAAAAAAAAGAAGAAGATGCAGGTTCCATTCCTGGACAGAACAGTCAGGACAAAAAATGAGCTATGAGAAGAAAACAGGGACCAGGCACTGTCACTCTGCAAAGGTGAGCACATGTGTAATGATAGAAAAGAAACATTAACTTTAAAACTCTTCAGACACGTGTGTTCAAGTGGCAAAAATACATAGAACTATAAGATGAAAAACTCCAGAGAATGCTCAGATTTCTCAAATGACCACACAGCTATCATGTCTCTCCTCCCAGTTTCTAGTCTCCTTTTACAGTCTCCTAACTCTAACTCCAATGACAATGACTGAAGACTCTGGAATCAAGCTATGCTGATATGCTAAAGAAGTCAAGGACTCTGCAAACAGAATCTCTGCAGATACCACAAAGTTTTAGTCCGGTCTCCAAGGCCTGCCATACCTTAAAAGATTAAAATGGCTTAAGGCAAATGACATTTACAAATCAAGGCAGGAAACTTGAAAAATCAATATATATGTTTATATATAACATGGCCTCCGGGAGTCACCCTGGAGTAGCCAACTAACAACATTTTAGTAAAGGGAGGAAAAAAGGTTCACATTCTGCGCTGAGACACCATTTCATGTCAATCTTCTGTGAAGTTAGAAGAAAAAGGATTTAATATCCCAAAGTAACCATAAGGAAGTATAGAACATAGAATGGTTTTATCCTGTATATGTTGAGAAAAAGACAACAAACACAAAACGTTTCACTTTCCTGAGAAGATAATTATTAGTAGTACTGAGGGGGGAAAAAAAGTTTTAAAACACAGGCTCAGGCAAGAATGAACAGGCCGGGGACCACATACACTTCATAGTCCAATCCCTAGATTCAGGTAGTTCTGTTTCAGTAAGATCTGAAGATATTCCCTGTTCAAACATCTAGGTCAGTCTTATCAGTCCGAAATGAGTCACCTAAAATCCTCTTTTAAAGTTTTGCATAAGTGTTTTCAAGTTTGAATAGAATGAACTTTTTTACTCTTGAAATCTAGGTAGTTTCCTCTTCCAAAGCCTTGTATGACTTTGTGACTTTTGCTAAATGTATTTCTTTGATACAGCTACACGGTACCATTTCTGATTACCTTATTCCATAGATGGGAATATATGTGAAAATTGAAGGTTTAACGCTGGTTGAAACGGCGTTTTGGGGCGACGGGCTTAGCAATGATTGCTAATGCCTCACGATGTGAATTTCCAGTTCAATGCTGAAGGACTTAAAAGATACAAAATGGACTTAAAAGATACATCCTATCTCAAACACGTTTAAAACTACATCCATTTACTTTAAAATGCCAATTTCAACACCAGGAAGGGGCCATTTTACCTGTCCTACCAGGTCTCCAGCCGGAGGTGAAAAGGCTTCCAGCAAACCAAGCCGTGTTCCAAATTTCAACCAAGAACCCTAAAGGTGCAGAAGGCGACTTCTGGGACCTTTCCTAAGTCCCAGACACAGGACTGGCCTGCCTTTCCCGGAAGGGGTGCCCGGCCCCCGCGGAACAACAGTGACCCCCACGGAGTCCGGGTGTCAGGCTTTCTCCCAGCTCTTGCGACCCGCGCGGCTGCTGCAGAGCCCGACGCGGCTAGACTAGGAGAGGCGCACGGCGGAGCGCAGCCTTGCAGAGTCTACAGCTGCAGCCTCAGCCCACAGCTCCCGGGATCTCCTCCTAAGAGTTACTGGAGCCCGGCCTCCGGGCAGCTGCGCGCAGCTGGACACGGCCTGAGAGCCCCCGCCACACTTATTCCCCGCCAGCCCCCGACGCCCAGGCCGTCCCTCCGTGCGGCCGCAGACCCGGCAACTTACTGCTGCGCTAGGGCCAACCGAGGGGGCGGTGGTGGGCGAGCTTGTCTTTGCGCAAGGCTGGAAGTGGCTGGAAGAACGGCCGCCACCTCGCTTGTCCCCGCTGAGTAGAAAGCCTGACGCCGAGCTGCACAAGGCGGGCTGGGCACGTGGGCGTCCCTCTGTGTAGCCTCTCCGGGGGCGGAGCGAGGGGCGGGGAGGCACCGCCTTCTCCCGCCCCCGCGCTTGCCGACCCGCCTCCCCAAGCCCGCCTCCCACCGGGTCGGTCCCGCAGCTGGCCAATCCTCTGGGTGGGCGGCGTCCAGCTCTGCTCAGTTGGGATTGCCTGGGGCCAGCAGCGCTGGCACACGTGGGCGTGCACTCTCCTGGGTCACAGTGGGTGGGCGCTGGCTTGGAAAGGAGGATCTTGGCGGGAGAAGAATTTCTCCATTTCTTTGGGGGGACATAACCTTGGGAGCATTTCCGAAGTTTCTTCTAAATGGACTTTCCCCCCCTGTTTACTTTTCATTCTGAGGACAATTGGGAAATAAGAAAATAATAAATATAATGGTACACAGAAGCCCAGATGGTTATGCTTGTCGATTAGTACTACTTCCACCAAGAAAATAAAAGTTTATAAATAATGTGTAGTTGGTATTTTGAAAACTCCAGTAATGTGAGTAGGTAGTCATGATTGTTGGGAATGGGTCTATAAGAAAATGGCATTTGCGATTTCCAAGAGAGCAAGAGCAGAAGTTACACAATCAAGGTCTCTCATACTGTGCTATTGTTTACTTTGGGAGTCTCTGATAAGATTAGAGTCACAATGTGAAACTCTTGTTAATTTTAATCCAAATGAAGCAAAACACTGGCACAGAATTTAACAAAAAGTTTATACTATTGTTTTTGTTTGGCAGAAAGGTCTACCTTAACATTGTAGTAATGTCGCTTTATTCATCTACTAAGAATATCTTTGACATAGTGCAAGATTCATATTGATGCAGTGACACAAACTTTTAATATTATGCTCTAAACCGTTTTTCTTTAAGGCACGTTTTACCAAGAGACTAATAAATGGTGTGGAGGGGGGACTTCACCTCAAGAAAATGGTACATGTACGAAATCTCAATTACTGTCTTCATAGTTCATTACCCCTTAGTCATCCATGGATTCCATTAAGGAATTCCAGGCCTAAAGGACACTGTGATTATTAGGGAATTATATGTTCAAGTAAATGTCCTAAGTGATGAAGACTCTACTAATGTAAAGTTATTTTCAAGGTATAAAATAGATTTTTTATGCAAATGATCACTAATAACATTAGAAAAATTATAGGTATGGACACTGACACCAAATTCCTATTCCAATTAAATCCCTAGTAGGCATTGCACAAAGGAGCGAAAACTAAAAAACTCAAGATGTTTCATCTAATTTTCAAGGGAAAGGATCTAATTTAAAAATTTTCATTTAAGGAAAAAAAAAAAGAAATTTCTGTTTTAAAATATAAGACACTTTCCCCATATATTTTTATTTAAATACCCTGTATTTAATCTGTGATTAGTTTGCAGCACAATGATTTGGGATAAATAAATGTATTCAACTTTTAGAAACTGTTGATTTTGTCAGAATACCAATCCTAGAGTTTATTCTGCCCATCTGATTTTGATACTTCCTGGGACAAAAACACAGTGTGTCCATGTGTAAATAATAAAAACCATTCCATGTTTTAACAAAAATGAGCAAGTTCTTTCTAATAAGTTTGCAATATGAGTACTTTGACACACTAGTCTTAATATATTCCATTTCTTATTTGAAATTATTGATTAACCCCGAGTCTTGCATTACATCTTTGATAATTTCTCAGCTTTTTAAACTTTGTGTAGATGAAGAAAGAATAAGATGACCACAGATCTAGTATGAGCTCTAACATGTACTGTTGGAGATAAGAGAAAGTGGAATAAAAATTTTAGAAGTGAAATATTTGAAATAAGTTGAACATTTTTTTTTTTTTTTAAATCTGCCAAGCTTTTTTCTTGGGAATGAAACAGAAAATCCACCTTAGTCATATTCAGGAGTAACCAAGATTGTTGCCTTCTGAGGATTTCACAAACAAACCTTAACTCCTAAAAGTTTATGAAATTGCAGGGAATTCCGAGGGACTGTTGTAGTTGAATATATTCCACACCCTGTCCTCCCACACTTGCCAAATACAACCCAAACTAAATCTTAAGTCCACAAGGACAAAGGATTTGCTTTAACTATCAATAAGGCTAAATGAATTGATTATTATTAGTTCTGCTTTGTGACTTTATAATCTTCAAGTTAAAATCCTCCATTTTTCTCCAAATGATTAGACCACTGGATATTGATCTCAAACTTGTAAAGGTGACTTTCCATTGGTCACATTCCACATTTGCCCATCCTTTAAGGTAAGCAATGAAATGTTGAATAAATGGTTGAAAATGAGTACAAGAAGTCCTTGTGATGACAAGTTATCTTTTAAATTCATGTTTTTCTGTTTCTCTTTTAACTAAGACCAAATAATGGTTTTGCAATGGTTTTCAGTCCTACACTGCTTCCCTTACACATTTCCCTGCATCCTGTCACTTGGCTTCTTGCTGGGTTTTCTTTACTTTGGCCATCAATCAAGAATCGCCCAGAATTCGACCGGCACTGTGCTGGGTTCTGTTTCCTTCTGCCAGAATTCCTGCTGGGATTGTATCTGCTGGGAAAAACAAAAAGTTAACTTTCTCCATCCAAACATCTTCAGTTAGCCTGTGATTCTAAGGACTAAAAACTGGGATTTTAGAAAAGAGCTCAACTAATGGACATCCTCTTTTGTCCTTCAGCTTTGACAAAGGTCCTAATTGCTCCAAAGATGTCTTCCTAACCATGTCCAGTAGACTGTTCTCAGTTTTCATGAGCCTCATATTCTCTCTTGCTTTCTGTTCTTTTCTTTCTTGAAATTGCCTCCCACCTTGGCTTCCATGATATTTTAGTTTTCCTCCTATCATCTTGATAACTTTTTGTTCTGCTTGCTAATTATGGCCTTCTTAAGGTTATATTCTTGAATCATTCTTATCTCCATCAACCTTCACAATCTTAGCTGAGATCCATTCCTAAGGCTCAACCAACTTGAAGGCATGGATCCCCAAAGCTGCATTATCAGGCCTCATGTCTCATCTTTGCTCTAAATTGAGTCTCTGATGAGAAAAACTTGAAAAAACTAGATGGCTAAAATAAGTTCCTTACTTACTTATGCTATCTTCCTCCTATTTCCTTCTTTCTTCCTATTCTCCTGACACTTCAGGCTTAATGCCTTAGAATTATTGTTTACTCTTTCTTTTACTTTTTTATATTCCCCCAACCACACACTTCTGCTACTATTACTCCATTTGCTCTTTAACACAGAAATAACCCTTGATTTCTGTAAATTCACCTTCCTAATCTATACCCTCATTATGTTAACATAAGTTATTTCAATCTTCACAAAAACTCATGGTATCTTCTAATTGATTATAGAATTCAACTAAACTCCCTAAGTCATGGAAAGTCTCCATCATCCACCTTAGTACATTTTCTTTGGCTTACCATTTAGACCTATATCATCCACATAGTAGCCTCTACCATATGTGGCTCTTGAGCATTTGAGTGTGGCTAGTCCTAATTGAGATTCATTGATGTGCAAAATAAATGTTGTATTTCAAAGACTTAGTACAATAAAAATCATGTAAAAAAAAACTTCAATATTTTTTTCACCCGAGTACTTGTTGAAATAATTATTTGGATATATGGAGCTAAGTAAGATTAGATATGATTAGAATTGATTTAACTTATTTATTTGTACTTCTTTCAATGTGTTGCAAATGTGGCTTACTTTATATTTCTATTACAATCTGGTTTAGACAATGAACAAACCTGGGCTAGGTACAATGCAAGAACAGAGAAAATTTTCAAAGAGAAATAACCCTACTTCACTGTTGAGAGCCACAGTTTAGTCAGAATGACGCCTGGCATTTTGCTAGAGGGAATGGTTGAAAGGTGACCCTGCTCCGGGATTAGGGCGGCTCCGGGATTAGGGCAGATCCTGCTGCCTCAGGCTGCTACTTTGGAGTTCCCCTTGAGTTCGCGAGGAGTTCTGGGAGAATTGGCGCACGGAGCATGGTGGAGGGAGTATGTTCCCGGGAAGTGTGTGTAGAGTACGGTGAGAGTTCAGGAATAAGGAGTTGCTGTTTGAACCTACAAGGCTTTGCTGTTTGAACCTACAAGGCTTTGTGGCGGCTCAGTTATTTTGTGCCCAGACAGACTGTGGCACTTCACAACCTGGGTTTCTACACAGTCCACTTGAGGAGATGTTATGGTTTGGATTTTAATGTCCCTGAGAAGCTCTTGTGTTAGGCAATATAAGAATGTTCATCAGTGAAATGATAAGATATGAAAACCATAATCTCATCAGTGGATTAATCCACTTGACAGATTCATGATTTGAATGGACCACTGAGTGGTAATTGTAGGTAGGTAGGTACGGCGTGGCTGAAGGAAATTGGTCACTGGGGGCATATCTTAAACCATATCAGTCCATGGCTCCTTCTACCCTTTTTCTGCTTTCAGATTACTGTGAGCTGAGAAGTTGTTTTTTTGTTTTGTTTTGTTTTGCCATACCCTTCCACCATGATGTTTTGAATCACCCCAGACCCAGACCAATGGAGTTGGTCAGCCATGGACCAAGACCTCTGAAACTGTGAGTTCAAAATAAACTCTTTCTCTAAGTTATTCTTGTCAAGTATTTATTTTGGTCTCAAAGATGCAAAACTGACTAACAACAGAATATAAGGCATTGAAAATCAATTATAAATAAAACCGGTAGACAAATTCCAAAAGAAAAAATTATTCCTGTGAGAGAGAGCTTTAAAAAGGAGGTGGTTGGGAATGGCTTGTCTGAAGAAGTAGAGTTTTAAAACATCCTTGTCTGCAGCTAGGAAAGAAAGAGAAAAGCAATCTGGGGTAGAGGAAGTGAAGAAGCCCTGAATAGGCTTGGGATAAAATGGGTAGACCAATTTGTCTGGGGTGGAATATTGTGCTCTGATGCGGATTGGTTCGCCACATATCATTTGCCTCCATGCATTCCATTACCTTCAGAAGGACTTCTCTGCCCTATGAAGCTAGAAAATAAAGGGGATATTAATGTTGCCAGTCAGTCCTACCTACTTTGTTCTGCTTCTGACCAAGATTCTAAACCTGTGCACCAAACATAAATTTTTGTACATTGGCACTATGTGACCTTTTCTCTAAGGAAATATTGTCCTGAGTAAACCATTTCAATGAAGAGACCAACCCATGTGAAACAGAAGTCAGTGTTCATTTAAATTGCTACTTATCTAGTTGACTAATCATTCCCCTCAGTCCTGAGATAACTGGGACAGCTGGTCTACCTTACTCGACTATACTTCAAG